GTATCTGACAAGGGATTAATATGGAGAATATACAAAGAATTCTTATAACTCAACAACAACAAAACAAACAATCCACTTAAAATATGAGCGAAGAACTTGACCAGATATTTACTCAAATAAGATATACAAATGGCCAAGAAGCATATAAAAACATGTTCAACATCACTAATCATCAGGGAAATGCAAATTAAAACCACAATGAGATATCGCCTTACACTCATTAGAATGGCCACTGTCATAAAAACAGAAAATAACAAGTGCTTGTGAGGATGTGGAGAAATTGGAACCCTCATGCACTGTTGGTGGGAATACAAAATGCTGTAACTGTTACGGAAAACAGTAGGACTTTCTTCAGTTAAACAGAACTACCATATGACCCAGCCATTCCACTTCTGGGTATCCATTCAAAAGAACTGAAAACAGGATCTCAATGAGATATTTACACATTCGTGTTAATTGTAGCATTTATTATTCACAACTGTCAAGAGGTGGAAGCAACCTAAATGTCTATCAACAGATGAATGGGTAAAAGAAAATGCTGTACACACCTACAACAGAGTATCAGTGAGCCTCAGAAGAGAAGGAAATTCTTTCCTATGCTTCAATATGGATGAATCTTGAAGACAGTATACTCAATGAAACAGCATTTTACAAATGCCGATTTCAAAAAATAGATGAAGTATCTAAAATAGTCAAACTTCTAGAATCAGAAAGTAGAACGGTGGTTGCCAAGAGAAGGGAACAGGGGGAAAAGGGAGTCGTGCTATGAATACAGAGTTTCTGTTTGGCAAGATGAAAAAGTTCAAGAGATCTGTTGCACAACGTGCATAAATTTAACACCAATACACTGTGCACTTGAAAATGGTAAAGATAGTAAATTTTGTATTTTTTACTGCAATAAAAAAAGACTTGTATGAGGTTCATAGCAACCTTTTTCATAATACCCCAAAACTGGAATAACTGAAATTATAGAATAGATTTAACAGATTTCAAAAATTGTGATTTGCTCATACAATAAAAAAGAACATACTACCAATACACACAACACCATAGATGAATATAAATATGACCACTGATATATCATTGTGAAGTGTCTAAGTTTGTTGTCCATTTTTAAACTAGGTTGTCCTCTTAATGTTAATTTTTCAGGAGTTCTTTATATGTTCTAGATAAAGGCTCTTTGTCAAATATACTTATTATGAATATTCACTCATGCTAGTATATATGTATCAGTAGTGTATTCTTTAAAAATGTTGAGTGAAGAATCTATTCCCCAAATCAAACACAGTCCTTTTATATGAAGTTCTATAACAGGCAAAACTAAGTTATGGTGGTAGAAATCTGAACAACGTTTGCGGCAGGAAGGCTGGCTGGAAAGGGGCAATACAGAACTTACTGCGGTGATGAAAACAGTCTGTTTCTTGACTGGGGTGGCAGCTACGAAGGATTATATATTTGTCAAAATTCACTGAAAATACATACTTAAAATCCGTGCACTTTTATGTATGTAAATGAAAACTCGATTACCAAAAGAGAAAAAATTATAGTACAACTCTGACCCTACCAAAAGGTGATCAACCTCTGCTTGTAGTAATATTATCAAAACCTTATAAACAGTACCTTCTAGCTAGTCACAAACACCTCCCATCAATATCTGTATTCCCACCACATGTGCCCACTAAAAGGTGAATGCTATCATGAAACTCTTAAGGCCCCAAATAACTATCACTGTCAAGGTCAAATTTTTTATGTCTAAATAGTGTTTCATGGAAGCAGTATTAAACAGCCAAACATTCCTTATTTAATTTTTTATTTAAACACGGAGAAAATACCGCTGAAACTATACAATGTCAAAGCACAACATATGCATGGGCCAGCTGTTATGAGCATAATACCATTTGCTCCCTAAACTACTTCACAGGAACGTCTTGAAGATTAATGAGATAATGGGCCAGACCCTTTTCAGTGGGCAGACTACTTGCTGTGGGTAACTGGGGTATGTCAGGGTGAAGTAAATCCACCAGGCCACAAGAATACGATTACTATGCTAAAGCAAAAAAGCAGACTTGAAAATTTATATTCTGATAATTAAGTTTTTAAATATTCAGAATGGTGTTTTCTAAAGCACAATTTATACTTGAAACGAGAGCTAACTGCTGTCCTTCCTTTTAATATCTTTAAAAAAAAACCAGAGCTTTATTGTTTAACTCTTCCTTTTAACATTTATCACTGTACTAGTTACCCAAGGATAAAGAAAACATGCAGTTAACCGCCCTCAAGAAGCTCACAATTTAGTGAGGAAAACATAAAAATAAATAATTTAAGTGCAATATGACAATGATTTTTGGCCCTATAGAAATACCTGGACCGGGCACCCACCCAGAAGGGGGTGGGGATTTGGGGGGTGGAGGGTGGCTGTCAGAGAAGGCCCTTGGAAAGCAGTGGCCCCTGAGCAGGCAGACCCTAGAGGGATGTGGCAGTCGGTCAAAGGGAGGGCCTGGGGGCTGGGCAGAGAGCGCTCAAGCTAGACGCTGCAGGTGCAGAGAAAGGCAGAAGCCAAGGAGGCAGGAGGCACTGCTGGAGGCCCTGCAGTGCCAGGGCAGGAGATGAAAAGGGAGAGGCCAGTGGGGGCAGAGTGGGAAGAGCCTTCTAAGTAAGGATCAAACATATGCATCTGGGACTCTGGAAAAGACTTTGACAGATTTGGTGGGCAGCCGCCTGAAGGGAGTAATGGAAGTCATTGCCAAGGAGATCTGCGGGGTGTGAATAGCAGAAGACTACTGCAGAAATCCTGGCAGTGGGTGCAGGTGACAAAGGGGCAGGCAAAAAACAAACAAACAAACAAAAAAAGTGGGCAGGTGCAATCAGGGATGTGGAAAAAAAAATCCCATGTCACAAAATCCAAAGGAGTAGAGCAGGTGGGAATAACTCACAGTGACAAAGCAAAGAAGACAAGACTAAAGTGCCGTTTGGAATCTGTGGGGCTCCGGTGCACTGGGCAAGAGCAGGCTCTGCGGTGGCTGGAGAACAACGGGGGAGTGGAGCTCACGGTGGCTGTGGAGGGAACGAGAGGACCATAACCCGCCAGGGATCTGGGGGGAAGGATGGTTTTGAGGGGTGGGGGAGGGAGTTTACTGTTATATGTTAGTTTTTTTCTTTTGTAATTTCGGTTTCATGTCATTCTAAGAGTTTCCAGTGTTTACATTAAAAAAAACAAAAAAACACTAGAAATTGTGGGAGAAAATTTAAATCCAGGAAATAACTGGTAAAGATACTGAACAGGAGAAAACGATAAAAAAGTTATTAAGAGGTATCTACAGGGGTACAGGTGTCCAGAATAAAACCTCTTTCACTGAAAAAGAAAAGAAAGCCCTAATGCTGGGTTTAGATCCCAAAGAGTCTGCACGTGGTGGGTGGCAAGCTAAGGAAATTCATTTCTCATTTTGGTACCATCAGAGCTTACTGCTGTTCAACCAGGACAGCTAGGTTTAGTTTCTGGTTTCCCAAATTTTACTTAAGGAAAGAATATTAAACATTTAGCCATCTAAAATAAGTACAGAAGGGAGAGTGAAATCGTTACACATTTCCGATGTTCCTCTGAATTGTTTATTTGCGGTGACATAAGGATGAATCACAGTTGTTTAAAAGGAACTTAATTTTACCAAAATTAGTTCCTTCCATCCTTACAGATTATAACATCTGGTTGTCAGTCACTGATAAGCAATAAAACCTAGTACACAATATGATAGTAATTAAGAAAGGTTTATTATAAAACACAATATTAAAAGGTAACTTTTAAAAAGTATTCATTCTTCATGGACTTTTTAGAAGCTTCCAGGGAGAGAGAATATCTCTACCAAAAGAAAGCCATATTTCTTCTAATCATATAAAAAAAGGCTGAGGCAACAACTTATAGGAGGTGTCATATTCGTATTGTCACTTTCTACAAGTGGCAATAGTAGTGTCATGTTGAACCAACATATAGTATGCATGAAAGCTGGTTCCCGAACTGTGTACAGCAGGTGTTCACTACAACGCATTACTCGCTGTATGTGCTCACTGAAAACCTGGCCTCACACCTCAAAGGGCTTTCTCCCTTCCACTGGTTCATCTCACCTACCTGTAAGATGGGACCTCACTGCTACAGAGAGAGGTGCTTTTGGCCTCTCAAAAGATTTAGCATGCACAATTCATTATGTATTCCCTGACATCTATACTAAAATAAATTATTTTTAAATGAAATAAGCAAAACGAGTAATGTGAATACTATATGCTATTATACCATCTGAATAAATGTTTAAAGGGGTGAGTAGAGAGCTAAATAGTCACATAAACACACACACAAATATATGAAAACCACTTCAATATGTGTTTTCAAAAGGTTGCTCACAGCCACAGTAATCATCCTCTGCCCTACACTTAAGCGTGTCAGGGATGTGACAGATTTAAAAGCTGTTAAAATGAGAGGTTTTTCTGCCACAAAGGAAATCAAGACACAGAGAGAAGAAAAGCGTGCAGGACTTTTCTCAGCTGTGCTATGTCTTCCAGCATTGCTGATGAGCACCATCCCTCCCACCAGCACCCTAAGCAAAAACAGCTGTGTCTTTAGACCACACCTGTGGCAGTGCCCAGCACAAGAAAAGGAGGGACCAAATGGAAAGTGCAGTGGTCCCCGAGACAGGAGCCCAGCACTCTTGATCTCCACAGGCCGCCAGACCTGTGCTGAAGGAGAAGACGCATTCTGCACCAGGCAGGCAGGCAGGCAGGCAGGCAGGCTGGCAGGCAGGCACCCTTTCACCCTCTCGGCCCCCAGGAGGGCAACTCCATATACATGCCCCAAATACCAAAATGAGCACTTCAGTTAAATATCACTCACTAAGAAAATGGAGTTTAAAATAAGGAAATTCACTTATGAAGCTAACTTTACCCTTTTGCATGACTATAGGTTTGGGGGGATTATTTCTCTGTTATGTTTTCTTTCATCAAAAAGGAGAACTTACTGTTGATGTGATCGATGTAGTAGACACCAATCTGAGGGTCAAACCCTGCTTCCCATCCCCACGGCAGCTCATCCCCAACACAATCAGCAAATGACAAGGGCTTCGTTAACCTATAACAAACCAGAATAGATACACCGGTGATTCTTTCCGTCACAGCACGTATGTCAAAATTTAGCACCCTGACTGCAAGCAAAGTGCCTGAGTTGCATTTCCTTGTTCTGTCGTTCGTGATTGTTTCCAGAGTTTGCATTACTGCATCCAAAACCTTAAAGCAAAAACAAACAGAAAAACACCAAGGAGAAAATACACAGCTGAATATCCAAAGAAGCAGGATAAGTCATAATACCCTTTTGAAAGTTCACAGCTTAAGTTTGGGAGATAAATCTATACAATAAATAAAGAAAGCCATCTTAAATCAGGGAGAACTCCAGGCTGAGAGCGAAGCAGGCCTGGAATCTAGCTCTCGCTCTGCTGTGAAACAACCACCCCGTTAAAAAGAAAAATTTGTCCCACTATTCAAACACTGTGATCCTGAAAATCTTATCAGTACCTCTGACATACACACCAGGCCACATTAATTTCAGATGTGATGCTCTTAGATAAATTAAACACTCAACTATGTGCTTAGTGAGGTCTACTATGACTTCTCCTTGTGAGGTAGGACAAATACGTCTCATTTTTGTAGGTATCTTGTACATAACAGTCACTCAACAAAATTTTTAATGGAACCAAACACAAAGTGTTCATCTATCAATGTGATCGCACCTTTTGGCACCGCCTTACACTTTCTCCTTAGACTATTTCACATTAAGACGACTTTCTCTTAAAAGACACCTTTTTCTTTAGGACTTTTCTCTTTAAAACTAACTAGGAAACCCCATAGTTTCTTGAGTTTCTTGAGCAGAGTACAGGTTTCAGACTTAATTATGGATTGATTTTTTTTCTCTCTCTCACTCTTCCATTTTTGATTCTGAGATTTTTCTTGCTGTTGGAGCAGCCATGAGAAGGTTAACACTATAGATGAATGAATGCCTTGTTGTAAGGTGGCCACCACCATCATTTTCTAATTTGATACACTGGTACCACTAGCATGGTTCATTCATATGAAATCTCATGGAATCCCTTTCATGTGTGCTAATGAACATCTAAGATCTCATAGCTCCACTGAAATATAGGTCATTTTTAGAAACACACCATTCATCTGAATAACAAAGTGTGTTACCTACCCTTCAGAATGCAGGAAGAATGATACAAAAAGGAGGGAAATCCTTTCTTCCCGGGCCTAGGCTGCAATAGCCCCTCAAAGACACAAAACACTGATGGATAAAAGAAGGGTTTTCTTTTCTCTCAACCTTCCCATAGCATGAAGTCTCTGGAGAAGGCTCCAGGAACACCAGCCTTCCAAACCAGCTCTGCCACTGACTCACTGTGACTCACTTACTGGGCACCTCTCTCTACCTCAGTTTCCTTCTCTATTAAGTGTTGATCACACCCCCCCAAATCCTCTCGCCACAGTTTAACTACCTCCTAAGATTAACATGAGGATAAAAAGGAATTAACTTGGAACAGTGTCTAGGGCATGTATTAAATAAGCAGTCAATAAATGTCAGTGATTATTAACATAAGCACATGTGAACTCTCTCATTTACTTATCAGAGGAATCAGGTCAGGCAACATAGTACAGAACCATGGTTCTCAAGGTACAGTTCCCAGGGCCAGCGGCATCTGGGAAATGGTTAGAAATACAAATGCTTGGGCCCTCCCGCACAACCAGAAACTCTAGGGCCCAGCAATGCACGCTCTCCAGGTAATTCTTCTGTACACTAAAGTGCGAGAACCACTGGCTTAGAAGTTAAGAACTTGAAATTTGGGCATCAAAGAGACCTGGGCCCAAATCCTTAATCTGCCACTTACTCGCTATACCACACGGAGCAAGTTACCAGCCTTAAAACCCCAGTTTCCTAATCTATTTTTTAAAGGGGGGGTAGGAGAAGAGATTGTAAAGTTTAAATGAGAACTAAACAGTATAATGCCTGACAAATGGTAAGCTTCAATATACGTTAGATGAATGAAATCAATCTCAAACATGTTAAGCAATGTGCCCAAATATGGCAACTTGCCATATTTACTTTGTAAGCATGGAATCAATGTGAACTCAATCTGTGTAAAAAAAAAACCCCAAAAAACTGTGCTCTTAGAATTTTGCTTAAATCCTATTTTGTATCATAAGCTACCCAGGAAAGTTGATCTTTCTTTTGACAAATAGATACCATATCAAAAATCCCCACGCCCTAGGAGGTGGCCTTGTCTATGTACACTGTCCATAAGAATGATTTGACCACCTCAATAAAGCCAACCAGACAAATCTCCTGTGCCAGGCACCCTGTCTATTGTACTGTTTGATGATTCTCTTTCCCTAACTCCTGTTATCAATGCTGGCTCAAAGGGACATGCATCCTAAAGAAATGAAAAATAAGGAAATATGAAAATGGCACATTTAAGTGACAAAAGAGAAGTATTAGACAAGTTTTACCTTGGCACCAACTCAACATGCTTAAGTATGAGTATGCTATGAATACATCTGTGACTCTTAGAAGAAATTATGAAAGCTTCAGAACATGTGCTGTGATAACAAGTAATGGTAACTTGATTACATCTGGAAATAATCCAGTTTGTCCCATTAACTTATCATCAGATAATAAGCAATTAATTACCCATCATTGTTCTAAGACTAGAATTACATCTATAAGTGTATATGTAATTGTGAGCTCAGTGAAAAATTCAGAAGTTTCCATCCCTGAAAATTTTAATATAAAAAATTTCTCTGCAGTATTATCTCAAAAATCAATTTAATACTTTATTTTCTTTATCAAAATAAACATATATCTTTTCTTTGCATTCTGTCAATAAGTAAAACCATTAAACATGTATTTATAAATATCAAAACTTTAGGGTTGAATTCTTATACAGATCATAAACTATACATAACATTCTCAGGTACCAAATTACCCAATTATGCTGCTATCCTGATAAATGGAAAGTATTACTATGACATACTAAGAAGTAACACAAAGCAAAATATATATATATATATTCTAAAATTAAAAACTATAAATTAGAATACAGTGAATTAAGATATTAGTTAACTTCTGAATTTCTTCCTCTTGTTTCGCACAAGGAATCTCTGAAATGTTCAATCTTTCTTTGATGTTAAGGAAGTAAAAATGGACGGGAGTTTGTTTTTTGTTGGTTCCCCACAAAGGAGCAAGATCATGCACACAAAAAAAAAAAAAAAAAAAAAAACACCCTGAAATTAACAAGAGTTTTTATGCTAAATTCCAAAGATTACTTTGCTTAACACATTGACTGCCACACTAGAAAAAAATTTTTTTTCCTTTGGGGCCAAGGTGTTTTATTATGAAAATGGAATAAAAACTTCAAAAATAAAACAATCCTTTCTAACTTAATGAAAAATTTGTTGTTTTATATTGTTTTTGTGCATGAGTTATATGCAATTAAATTGTCAATATTAACTGCAACAATAAGAACATAAACAAGTAAGATTTTAACAAACCAACTGCAGTTACGTATGCTTTGCAAGGCCCTGGCCTCAAAACTAGCATGAGTTAAATACAACTCACAAGGCAGTTAATGTGTTAAAAAAAAAAAAAAAACAGTCTTCCTGTGCACTGTGCCTAATGTGAAGAAAATGGTAATTTACTGCAGCACTTCGCCAAAGTTTATATATAAATTTAAATTGCATGGTATTTCCACTCCTAGTTGGCATTGTATCATTCTTCGACACAGTCATTTAGTATTTATTGTCAAGCTGTGGATACCTGTCCTGTGACATGAGATGCCACCATACAGAGATGTATTTATTCTTCATAATTACATTATGGTGAACACTGTGTGTGCCTGTGCAACCACAACTCCAGAAAAAACCGAGTTTGCACTAACTAACTGCACTAAATGAAAATGCACTTGACAAAGAAAACTGTTTCAGAGAAACAAGAGAAAACTCTTGCTACAATTCATTGCCTCCCAAATGTACAGTTTAGCATAAATGTTAAAGGTCTTAACAGCTATTTTTAGTTGGCAGCATCCGCTGCTCTCATTGTTTAAGTTACTCAAAGCTGAGTTCATATTATCAACTGTCTGCGATGACTACAGAGTCTGCCCACACGAACATTCCTGAATCACTATGAGACACCAGGGAAGAAGGCAGTGGTTCACAATTTGAATTTTAAAGGGAGAACAGAATGCTAAAACATCTTTCTATAGTTCTAAAAGAATTTTCATTTATAATGTTGATTAGTTCCTTAAAAACAACTTTTATCTGTTTCTACCACTTGATGAGGAAAATAGCAACACAAAGAAACAAAAACAGAATGGAAATAACAGCAAATAGCAAACAAAGGCAACAAGAAGAAAATGGCTTTTTTTTTTCTTTTTCTTTTTGAGATGAGGGTTCTCTCTATATTGCCCAGGCTGGCCTCAAACTCCTAACCTCAAATAATCCTCCTAGCTTAATCTCCCAAGTAGCCAGGACTACAGGTGTGCACCACTACACCTGGCATGAAAATAGCTTTTAAAAGAAATTATACTAACACTTCAGAGGGCAGTAACAAGATTAGTTCTGTGTCACTGAGAACACTAGCTTAAATTCTTAGACTGGAGTCATACTAGAATTTCCAGAAAATAAAGATTAGCTATTGGAACAGGTCACAATGTGGAGAATCATCTCACTTTTAACTAAAAGCAAGAGAACAGACTGGGCAATATACATGTCAAGACTTCAATCCATCCTCATCCCCATATTCTTCCTTCCAATAACCCCTTGTATCTAACAATTTATCTTATTATTAGAACAGTTACCCAATATTTTGAACATTATTTTATGAAATACTAATTCTCTAAGGAAAAAAATCAATTTTATTGGTTGTCTATTATGTGCCAGAATTATACAAGGTAGTTTCATATGTTATCTCATTTAATCCTAACAATTCTTTGAAATGAGTATTCCTACTTCCATCTTTTACATATTTAATGCTGTATGTAACACATAAAACATGGATCATGCAGTCCTATGTTTTGGACCCTGCCTATG